GGCTGCAGGAGAGGGCAGCATGACTGAAGCCAGCACGTGCAGGTAGCCTTGGCTGTGACAGGCTTCGGGCTGAGCCTCAGGTCTCACAGCAGCCGCACATGGCTCACGAGGGTCCTTGGTGGAAAGCAGATCTGGAAGAGGCTTGTTAGTCCTGTGCTGCAGCAGTGGCTACTCCAGCGATGGAGGACATCGGCGCCGTTGGTGGGGAATCAAGAGGACGTGCTAGCGAGATAGGTGAGGGAACAGAAAAACAGGCCAGCACCTGGCTGTCTTGCTGAGGAAGCAGGCTGTTGTCAGCAGTGCTATTGGGTGAGTGCCCTCAACCGAAGGATGTGAGGAAGGGCTCCCTTTTGGAGTTTGTGTTAGTCTGGGTTGACTAGAGAGACAAATGCAGTGACACTCATATGTGTATAAGAAAGAGCTTTATGCCCCAAATACTAAGTGGACGCCTGCCCCTCCCCCGAGAAGAAGTTGTTTCAAAGGATGGCACTGAATCCGCAGCTTTGGGAGAAGGGTATATCTGACCAGAGCACACAGGAGCAGTTGACGGGAGAGGAGGAGAGACTGGAGCACATCCTGGCCCACCAGGCCTTGAGGATGATGACCCCAATTAGAGCAGCCAGTCCACAGAGAGGACCACATAGCCAGCCCCACTATGAGACATGATGCCCCCCACTGACCCATGGCTCTGCGGGGGACAACACCAGAGACACGGTGTGGGAATTGCACCCGATCTGATCCTGCCACACTGAGGCAAAGCACTGGGAGAGTGCAGCGGAACAGCAAGGGAATGGAGCAGCAAGATCCCCAGGGAATGATGAGGGTGGACATTGGGTACAGGGCATGGTGCCCCAACAGGCTGGATTGGAAAACACTCTTAAAGGCGAGCGATCCTTGAACTAACTACAAGCTTTTCTTTCTTGGTATATTTTAATTTGTTCTTTGTCAGTGGATTGATGTTGTTGCTATTTTGTTGTGCATTGTTGCTTGGTTTTGCTCTGTCTTGTTTTTGTACATGTTGTTGTCTCCGCAGGTCTGTCTGGTTAGGACAGACTGGATGAACAATCTGGAGGAGAAAACAA